AGTTTCATCCATATAAAATTAAATTAGTACAAGAGTTAAATGAAGAAGATTTTGATCGTCGTCCTGACTTTTGCGAATTAATAATACAATGCATCATTCCAATCCACAATTGTTAAACAATATTTGCTTCTCGGATAAATGCTCATTCTCATTAAACGGTTTGGTGAACACATATAATTGCCGATACTGGGCTAAGAGTGATCCACATATAGCACGCGAATTTTACACACAGCATCCTCAGAAGACGTTTTCATCTTTCTTGGCGTGTGAGTGTAAAAACACTTGCAATAAGTTGTTTCATCTGTCTTTCCTTGTCTAAGCTCGATTCGTTTACCTCCTCCAGTGGCAGCTATCTGTATTCGTAAAGAGGCCGAACTTACCACCGACACACATTTGAATTACGCATCTGTGTATCAGAGAGAGACGAATATTAAAAATTCGGTAGTAGCTTACTTCAGGCACACCAAGAACGAAGAAAACGAGTTTATCCTACCCTTTTTTATCACTGGAAACTTAAATGGTGCATGTGCATCGTATCTTAAATTCTTTAGGCAAGCGGTTGATCGTATTAGAACAATAGTAAAAAATAATGATAACCTTTCCGAAAATTTGGTTGTATTTCAACAGGATGGAGCTTCTCCACACTTTGCTTTACCTGTGCGATAATTTTTCAATGAAATATTTCCCGGTCCTTGGATAGGTAAAAGACGACAGATCATGGATTGACCACCTAGGTCAGTGGATTGAACAACCCTGACTTCTTTTTATGGAGGTATTTAAAAACAAAACTTATGCTACTCAGCAAGAATCTCTAGATAATTTACGACAAAGAATAGAGGATGAATGTAGACAATTAAATGCAAATGTATTAAACAATGTTTTTCTTCTTATGGTGCCCTATCCAATTAGTGGATGTTGGCGACAATTCTGGCATACTCCTCTCGATCTTGTGTGGCTCTAAAAAGTGCATGGGCATCGAGATTTGTTTAATCCCTTATGTTTTTAAATCATGAGTATTTTTTTCTTCCGATGCAGACAATGTTGGAGAGAAGAATTTCAAAATAGTTTGTACTATTGTATGGAAATGAAGGGCAGTCGTTTTGAACAAAAATTTTTAGTAGTGAAATGTTCATTCTAAATGTGTGCAATAAAATTGTTAAAAAAATTTTTTTTTCAATCCAATTTTCTTGATTTTGTATTTATTTTTATCACAAACTAATCACTTCAAGCATAATGTATTATACATTTCTAAAATCAGTACAAAGAGGAAAATCTAAATATCAAATAAAAAAAAGGGGAAGTAATTAAAAAAATAAAGGGCTGATACGGGGGGTGAGAGGGTGCATTTCCCAGCAACCTTAAATATGATATAATGTCTCCCCCTTCAAATATTAATTGACGTGTTTTTGCGTTTTTCCTAAAAAATTAGAATTTTAAAAGTTATTTAAGGTGGATAGTTTTATCTAAAAAGCACTGTATATTCAACGATTCCCAGATAAGATTACAAGGGGAATTTATTAACTTGAGTTCGTTGAGCTCTTGCAAGTGGTGGAGAATTTTTTTTTAATAAAGTATGTAGATGTTAAATCAGCTGCGCAATGAGAGTTGGTTTTCAGATGCTAGAACTAGGGTAGCTTCATTTGAAGTGCTTTTCATCAATCCTAACACAATTTTTAGAGCTTTAAATTGCATTCTATCAAGTTTACGTAAATTGGTTATGCTAGCTGACCCATTAAGTTATTCCCAATCGTTGTTAAACCCAACCCAATCGTTGATTTGGGTTATTTAATCAACGATTTAATTTAATATTTCTTGTATGTGTTATATTTACTAATAACCATGCGCGGTTGATGTGATTTTGTGTTTAAATAAAAGAAAAAAAAAGTTTTTCCAATATAAAAAAATTTCTATAAGGTCCCTTAACGATACAACACTGAACCAAAGAACTGAATTGCAAAAATAATTCCAGATTCTTAGTGAGAGAGTTGAACAAAATTTCATAGTCACATAGTCACATTATGCTATTTCTAAGTAACTTATTGAGTGGATGCTTGCCCAATATATGCACTTGTTGCATAATAACTATTTTATTTAACAAATCTATCAAAATTGTCACCTGTACTTCTAAAAAAACTTTTAGAATACAAAATTGCGTTGTGCATACATATATCTTGTATTTTTCATGACGTAAAAGTATACTTATCTTTTTTCGGATATTAATCATGTTCTATATCTTTTTTGACGCGAAAGCCATTGGAATTTATCGAAGCGTTATAAATTTAGAATAAAGACGCTTACATTAGAATTTCATGTTATTGGAATATCGTTCGGAATTATCGTGGGCCGTACAAGGATTTCAACCCTATTCATGTTCCCTAATGAAGTAATCATGTATATGCAAACATGTTGAGCTTGAACGATGATTTAATTGTTTTAGAGATGATCAGAGTAAGGTCCTGTTTTATTTGTATTTATAAAGAAAATTCAATGGATATTGATTGTAATGCCTTAGATTTTCAGTCGTCTAAAGAAATTTAAAAAGTTTATAAAATGCCTTGTTAGGACTCTTCATTTGTAATTTTAGCTTATAAGGCCAGCAATAAAAAAACATCACACAGGTTTTTAAAGGTTCTACAAGGTATATGAGGGATGGTTGATGACTCTGCATTGACTGTATTGACAAACATTGACTGTATTGACATTGACTATTATGTCTTTCGACCTTTCCGTCCAATTGAGGATGGAGAGGTGTAATACGAGTTGTTTTCTTAATACCCAAGATTTTCATTAATTTTTTCCATAATTCCACTTCAAAATTTCGTCTTCGATCAAAATGTAACTCTAAAAGAACTCCTTGTCTTGAAATGTCGTGTGTTATGAATGCTTCTGCTACTGTAGTTGCTTCTTGATTAGGAAGGGGTGCATTTTTGGACCATTGTGAAAAATAATCCATTGCGGTCACTAAGTACTTATTTCCTATCTATGTCATTGGAAATGGACCGAGAATATCTACTGCAAGTCGTTGAAAAGGCTCTCCGGTCATTTTACCATGACTACCTTCTTGTTAGAGAGCCTTTTCTACCGTTAAGTAGATCGCATTTTTTACACCAATCTTGTACTTTTACTCGAACAGTAAAATATATCTTGAACTCCGGCCAGTGTTCTTTTGACTCCAAAATGGCCTCCAGAAAGGATGCTATGAAGTGTGACTTTTTTTAGACTTGCAGCTTGGAAACTATCAGAGGGAAGGGGAGATTTTTGTTCGAATTTTTTGATGCTATATGACCAGGTTTTTTGCAGTAGAAACAAATCATTTTATCCGTGGATAAAAATATTTTATGATCATTATTTTCAAAGTGAATATTCAGGGGTGTTTGAATCTCAGAATTATCATAAGATGGCACAAAATATACTTGCCTGCGGAAGGACAAGATATGGTTGTATTCATCTTCTGGGATGCCAGATCGTAGAAATGATATTGGAGGTACTAGCTGAAGTCCTATGTCTTCAGGGAGGCCTTTATTATTTCATTGCGTATTGAAGGACATGATACATGACACAATGGTAAGTACAGTCTGCTACAGCTTATCGTGGAAGGCAAGATTGAAGGTAGAAGAGGTTTGGGCAGAAAGAAGAAATCCTGGTTGAGGAACTTGAGAGAATGGTTTCAACTACCAGAAGCTGCGAACATAATACATGCGGCACAAAACAGAGAAACCTATCGTTTGATAGTCGCCAACCTTTGGTAGAAGACGGCACATAAAGAAGAAAGAAGATTGATGGGCATACATTAGACATGATCAGTCGTTTTGCTGGTGTGATTAATCTTCTGACTGAAAGGATATGGTTTTCGATGGTAATAGTAGGATTTGTGGAAATGAGCTACTCAACTAGATCTGTCTTGGTTAAATAAATACATATTCTGCTGTTTAATATCCTTAAGGCGAAGCATATATTCCTTGGTCCGATAATATCTCCTATGGATTTAACGTTGTCATATAACCTTAAGTCTTCTTATGAATGGATCTCTATGGCTTGCTCCTTCTTTGGGAATGAGCATTTCAGCGCTGATTTAACTGCTGTTGTGCAAGTAATGGAATGCTCTGAGATGTTTGATGAAGTAGTTTGCTGTGACATGTTTGACGTTGTTGGATTATTTTCAGTCGCTAAACTCATAGTATTTGAGGTGCCCTCGTAGTCAAAAACAACCCTGGAAATCTTTTCAATTTTGTCTTCCATTGGTGAATATTACGTTTAGCAACCAATAATTACTCATCATAATTCTGGCTGCCTATTTGATAGGTCGTTGTTCCAATAATAGGTTTATGTTTATTGATAAAAAGAGCAAAAAGTCGTTTACTAAATGAAGTGTTGTGAATGTTTTTATGCCAGTAAATGCAAGAAAATTAAATTGTGCACAATAACTTTACTCCACTGTGATTCTTATCAATTAATATCAACTATGTATTTCGCTATTTAGAAAATAAAATATTAAAGAGGTTATCCAATTCGAACATACACGTTTTAGCTCGATTAGGCCAGTCCCATTATTAAAATTTGTAATAATTTCAGTTATTAAAAAAGGAAAAAATGTGTTACTAAATTATAAGCGCATTTTTAATTTAAGCCATCCATACTAAGTTTTGATAAATTGTAAAAGCTATTATTTATGGTTTTTTGACATCATTGTCAGTACTTTCCAAATGGTACCTTGACGATATCAGTATTATACTCTTGTTCTTTTTTGTCCATTGCAACACACTTTTAATGTGTGATTTTGCCAGTGCCACTTGTTGAACTGTTGGTACTCCATCGAAACTTGCGAACACGATGGGAGCGATCCGATTTGGATCTTGAACAGACGACAAAGGAGGACTCTGGATGTAAACATATAGCCGGACAGACAAGACTAAGGTCAAATAAAATGGAAAAATAATTAGAACTCCCAACTAGGTAAGTATTTTTTGCGTTTTGTAGTATAATATTATAAAAATACTTACCACGCTTTTGTTCGTCTGGGCGCTTTGGGAGCTGCCCGTTTTTTGCCAAATTAGCGATGCTTCGTTTATAGTTAGAGTCATCTTCTTCGTCTGGAAGAGTTTTAATGTAGCCGGCCCTTGCTAATGACTGCAAGTTTCTTTTCTGTTCCGGTATTGCGTTCCACCTGGAAGTAATAAAGAAATGAAGATTAATATAAGATAAAGCCACAAATAATTATGGTAATGAAGCTGCGATGAAACACTAATTCAACTAAGTTTTAAGGATTATACATAATGTAAGTCTTATTTAACGAAGAAAGAGTTGCAACAACATGCGCTTCTTCTTCTGGATAATACTGGTGCTCATCCCACTAATGCGCTTCTTCTTCTGGATAATACTGGTGCTCATCCCACTAAGGCAATTAATTTCTCAACAAACAAATTAACGTATTATTAAGACAAATAAATGCTTCCACCAAGAGATAATAGATTAGGGTTTTATTAAGACAACGAAATACCTTTACTGAAGGGAATACATTGAATATACAATTTTTAAAGTAGCAAATTCATAGAGTGGAGTGAAAGAGAAAACTTTCGAAAGAACTTTTTACAATATAATGATGCTAGAGAAAGATAGAACATGATGGAATATAGTCATAAAGATGAATAAGTTACCATACGTAAACTATATCCCAAAATGAAAGTCAAGGAAAAGAAAATGATGGGACGGTATCAATTAAAGTAACTCAATCAACTAACTTTTTTTTTACTTAGCAAAGTCGACGTCATTGTCTTTGCTAAGAGACGCTAATTGTATCCGAACGTCTGCGGTCCCTCCGGTGAGTACCGATCGTACAAGGATAGAAACTATTTTCATTCATTAATTTTTTAATAACCGATAATTTCTCCACCCAGGTGAGATTCGAACTCACGACCTTTAGGTTTAAAGGTAGGCGCTCTTACCACTGAGCCACAGAGGGGGTTTATTGGACTTGTACATATATAAGAACTACATGTTCGGATTATGCGTGCTTTTAAATTATCCGTGCCATGTCTAGTCCCGAGCAGCACGGATAAACGGGTACTGTAATAATAAAAGTTGTTTAATCAATTCAAATATTAAGATTTGATTAATAGAACACGGTAACACATTACAGTTATTGTGGAAATTAAATTCCTCGGATGGCTATAATCGTTTAACCGACGCACAAAATCGCGAGAATGGAAGAAAACAACTTTTTATTTTAATGGCCCTTTTTGCCCTTTCTGTCATTATTTAGATTTAATTTAATTTTAAATGGTTTTAGAGTCGCTATGAGTAAAATAATTAGATGAAATAGCTGTGCTGACCTTAATTACATTTTGCGGTAATTTGTCCTACGTAAATCAATTACTGTCTCTAAAAGTGACTGACAGTATGTATTTAATTAAATAAATATATATGTTGTTCATAATACAATAAACCGATTTACAGGAGTTTCAGCAATTTGTTGTTTTCGTTTAAATTGGTAAATACAATTGATTTTTCCTATAACAATAGCGTGTTTTTCAAAATATACTTTATTTGAATTATTTTTTTTATTGCGATTTACAACCTATTTAATAAATATAGATAATAATTAGTAAACTATGTCCAAAAAGAAGTTAAAAATTTTTATCAAGGAGTAAAAAATACACGTGACACAAAATAAAAGTAGACAAAAAGTAGTTTAAGACAAAACTGGTATAGAACTTAATTGTTCTTCACAAAAAATATCGGGAAAAAAGGGAAAGATCCCTGTGGTTCGAAAACCATTAACAGCCTTCTCAACAAACGCAGCCCTATTAAAGACATTTTTAACAAGTTCCTCAACGTCTGTTGTATTGATTTTCTTTGTTTTTTTTGTTTTAGATACTTGTTACATTCTTGGTAGTAAGCTGTCTTGAATGGAGAAAAAAAAAACCTGATATCTAGAGGCTAGAGACGGTGGGAGGTGTGCGGTGGCAGTGAAAAGAGATTCCGCTGTCGCGACAAAAATTGTAGGAAGCCAGACTTAAATGCGTTGTGTGGTTATCTAGCACTAACAAAACTTTATGGTCTTTAGAAGCATTAACATGCCACTGAAAATGTTTCAACCAATCTGAACAACGTTATTCCGTTATCCACCCTGATTTGAAACATCTTTATATTGCCCAAATAGGACCGTTTTTGTCCAAACCTTCTTTTATCTGATTTCTTCTATAAATAAATATAGGTAGAATATATTGAAGTGAGGCACTGAAAGCACAATGGAATGATTCAAGTATAGTCTTAAAAAAAGCGGATGGTAAAAAGAGCAAAATCAAAGAAGCGGCTCTAAATATGCTAAATGAGACCAATTGTGTCACAAATTCCTCGGCAGAATGTAGTAGGATCTGGTTACTCATATTAAAAGAGAAAGTTATTAAAAGGAAAATACCAGTATTAGTAAGTCAGTAACATATCGAGAATACTTAACCATGTTACAGTATATTTTCTCCCGCACCTTCATATACTTGGTTTTTATTTTGGACTACATTTCCTAGTTTCGGTTTTGAATTTTGCGAAAGAGTTTATTTAGTTCGTTTTTTAAACTTGTTAAAAATACCAAATCACTTTAAATTGTTATATATTGTTCAAAACAGTGCAATTAATCTAGGTTTCTGTAGTTTTAACTATTTTTTTAACACTACATCTTTCTTTTTTAATTATCTGTAAGGCTGTGCATATATAAAAATGAAGAATTGAACCAAATTTCATATAATAAATTGTATAATGCTCGAGATATATCCCCATCTCTTCTGCTTTAGGTACCATCTCCTCTAAGGAGGTTGGTAATCATCATCACTCAATCAATCATCACAGCTATCTTCACTTTTGAGATTGCAGCTCTAAACAAGTCGACGGAATTGCAATTATACCACTTTCTCAGATTGTTGAGTCAAGATATTCGTCTTCTTCCAATACTTCGTTTTCCCTGTATTTTTCCCTGCATTATGGTTTCCCTTTGTCATCTTTCTGAGTACCTCAACATATGTTATTCGGTCTACCCAACTTATTTTTAATATTCTTCGGTAGGTACATACTCTACTCGAATGCTTCAAGTCAATCGCTCATCTCTTTCTTTAAGGTCCAGGCCTCCACCCCATACAGCAGCACCGAAAACACAAATGTGAACGTAATACTCTTATTTTAAGTTGCAAACTAAGGTCTCTACTGCATAATACTTTTCCCATCTTATTAAATGTTGCTCTAGCTTGTCCAATTTTCATTTTTATTTCTTCTGTATACTCGTTATTTTCATTAATAATTGTACCAAGATATCTGTATTTTTTTACTTTTTTTATTGGAACCCCTATTATGTTTAAAATGTGTTGTTGTTGTGTTTTCTAAATTGTCATAAATTTTGTTTTATTAGCATTAAGTGTTAGTCCGCTTTCCTTACTAGCATTTACTACATTATCTAAAATTGTCTGTAGATCTTGTATATTCTCTGCAATTAGTATAGTATCATCGGCATATCTGATATTGTTGATGGATCTGCCGTTGATTTTTATACCAATTGTTATATTTTCGAGTGATTTTTATTTATTTCTTCCGAATATAGATTGAACAATAAGGGGGAGAGTATGATGCAACCTTGCCTTATGCCTCTTTTTATCTCGATTTCCTCCGAAAGTTCTTTGTCTACTCTGACTTTTGCTTTTTGGTTAAAGTAGAGATGAGTTATTATTCTTAAGTCTTTTTTGTCAATGTGTTTATCCTTAAGTAACTGTATAAGACGGTTGTGTCGGACCTTATCGAACGCCTTATTGTAATCAATAAAACAAACATAGAGTGGTTGGCTTACATCCATACATCTTTGCATGAGGACGTTAAATCCAAATAATGCCTCTCGTGTACCCTTGGCATTCCTAAATCCAAATTGGCCTTCAGTGATGTGTTTCACTTTTCTGAAATTTCTTAAATGGATAATTTTTAAGAATATTTTTAGTGTGTGATTCATTAGACTAATTATAAGGTGGTCATTACATTCCTTTGTATTAGGTTTCTTTGGTAATGTAATAAATGTTGATTTGAGCAAATCTGTCGGAATAATACCCGTATTATTATAGTATTATATCCCCATCTCTACAATATTTCAATTTGTCCATCATATGCGACATACAAAGAAAACATGTTTGTTGTGATTGCCTCGTACATATGCAGGTGTTGGTTGCTATACAGTTAATATAATGGACAATTAATTCTCCGACACGCGATAAATGGAAGAAACAGGAAAACTCGATTAAGCTGTATACCACGTTACATTAAATGAGAGGTTTTCTCATTAACATCTTTATTTCGCAAATTAAATATTGTCGTGAAGTATTTATGCAGTTTTCCAGATGTCCTTCTAAAAAGGCTTTTATTATTCATATATTCAACGCAGAGTTTCTTCTTAATACTTTTCGAGAGTGAAATATTAATTTTCGTAAAATAATTTTAGCAAACTCTTCAAATTTTACTTGGTGATACTTTCATAAAATTCTACACCGAGTAACTCTTTTAACTTTATCTTAATTAAATGCTTTCGCCTTAAGGATGCTAAAATGTGTCCTAAGTTACCGGTAAAATATAAAATACGACAACGTTTTTTTTAGTTCTGATAGTGAAAGATAAAAATTAGTTTCTTTTAATGAATCCCACTCAATATTTTTCCGTGGTGGAAGGTCAATGAAGAATAAAAGAATATGGAAGAAAATGCAAACAGACTATCAACAAATTTGATGAAAATCGAGTAGTTAAACAAATTCTTAATTATACATCGAACATAGGAAGAAGAATAGTAAGTGTAATGTAAAATACAATGAAGAAAAAGGCGTATTGTAAAGTTGATAGTGATAGAAGTTATTGTTTTCATCCGTTTGGGTGAGTGAAAAAAATGGTGAAAATTATTCCAGTTGCCTTTTCAATTACTATGTTTCTACATTTTGTCCACAGCTTTCCCTCGCCTTCGGACTCTTCATTCCCTCATCCATTATTCTCTTATAATAGTTTATCGGTATAACGGCTTTGATGTGCAGATTATTCACAATAATTTTGTTTTCTTTCACATATTTATCCTTCTTTGGGTTTAAAATTCTCTGTCTAATTTTTGCCATTATAAGAACACTGCACTTAAACTGCCGTCAAACGATCTTCCAC